TTTTAGTTTCAATTATGTTTTCTCAAGAACATCCAGGGAAATGCTATGAAGGCTGCCCACATCTGCAGTTATAGAGCTATCACTGTTGATATAGAGGCCATTAGAACATTAGAAAATGTTGATCATTTCCGCTACCTTGGCAGCCACCTCTCCACCAAAGTCAACATCGACACCGAAATACAACACCGCCTGAGCTCTGCAAGCGCAGAATTTTTCCGAATGAAGCAGAGAGTGTTTGAGGACCGGGACATCCGTAGGGATACCAAGGTGCTTGTTTATAGAGCTATTGTCCTCCCAACCCTGCTCTATGCCTGTGAGACGTGGACTGTCTACAGACGTCACATGCAACTCCTGGAACGATTCCATCAGCGCTGCCTCCGGAAAATCCTGCAAATCTCTTGGGAAGACAAGCGGACAAACGTCAGCGTGCTGGAAGAAGCAAAGACCACCAGCATTTAAGCGATGGTCCTCCGCCACCAACTCCGCTGGACCGGCCATGTTGTCCAGATGCCTGACCACCGTCTCCCAAAGCAGTTGCTCTACTCTGAACACAAGAACGGAAAACGGAATGTTGGTGGACAGGAAAAGAGATTTAAAGATGGCCTCAAAGCCAACCTTAAAAACTCTGGCATAGACAGTGAGAACTGGGAAGCCCTGGCCCTTGACCGCTCCAACTGGAGGTCAGCTGTGACCAGCAGTGCTGCAGAATTTGAGGAGGCACGAGTGGAAGGTGAAAAAGAGAAATGTGCCAAGAGGAAGGCGCGTCAAGCCAACCCCGACCGAGACCGCCTTCCACCTGGAAACTAATGCCCTCACTGCAGAAGAAGATGCAGAGCAAGAATAGGGCTCCACAGCCACATACGGACCCACAAGAATATTGGAAGACAATAATCCTCGGAAAGCGAGGGATTGCCTAAGTAAGTAAGAGGCCATATGTTCACAGAAGGCAGAACATTCCTCTTGGGACAAGATCTGACGTTATGAATGACACTAGGCCATGTCCATTTCTTTTCTTTGTTCCCACAGATCTTTTCGTCCATTTATTCAGGCATTCCATGACTATCCTGTGCTGCAGCTGACATAACTCCCAAAGCAGTTTACATAAAAATGTAAAACTTAATTACACAATAAAATCAAAGAACAATAAAAAGAGTGAAGCAGAACAGATAGGATTCCAATATTAAAACAAAACAAAAGAGGGTGAGAATATCAGATACAACTTAATTAAATGCATCTGACTCATCACTGAGCCTGGAATCCCAGGTTGCAGTGGTCGCCAGGGGAGCTTTTGCACAATTAAAACTTGTGCGCCAGCTGCACCCGTACCTTGGAAAGTCAGACTTGGCCACGGTGGTCCACACTCTCATTACATCTAGGAGAAACTACCGCAATGCACTCTACGTGGGGTTGCCTTTGAAGACTGCTCGGAAGCTTCAAATAGTCCAACGCAACATACAAACAATCTACAAACCCACCAAGAAAATCCACAAATGCTCCATTCAGCAAAGGACAAGAGGGATCCTCTCACTTCTGCAGGAGTCTACCGTATACCATGCAACTGTGGACAAGTCTACATAGGGACCACACCAAACGCAGCACCCAAAGGAACATGAAAGACACTGCAGACTACTCCAACCAGAGAAATCAGCCATAGCAGAGCACCTGATGAACCAACCTGGACACAGCATTTTATTTGAGAACACAAAAATGCTGGACCACTCTCACAACCACCATGTCAGGCTACACAGAGAAGCCATTGAAATCCACAAACATGTGGACAATTTCAACAGAAAGGAAGAAACCATGAAAATGAACAAAATCTGGCTACCAGTATTAAAAAATTCTAAAATTGCAACAGCAAAAACAGCAGAGAGAAAAACAGGCAGGGACATCTAATCACCCTTCAAGAAGAGTTTGCTCCAGGCACAGTCAGCCCATTGTATGCTAATCAAGGTGGTCAGTTGAAAGATTCACACCTAGCCCAACTTACAAAAGCCCTTTGTCTCACCCTGGTCATTCCACAGATATATAAACCCCTTTTTCCAGCTCAGCAGACCTCACCTCTGAGGATGCTTGCCATAGATGCAGGCGAAACGTCAGGAGAAATGCCTCTAGAACATGGCCACATAGCCCGAAAAAACCCACAAGAACTGAGTCCAATGAGAGTCGGCCAGGTTAATAACTGGGGCAGCATACAGGCAGCATACAACTCCCATGTTATGCCAGCACCATTGGGTGCCAGTTTGCTACTGGGCACAATTCAAAGTGTTGGCTTTGGCCTATAAAGCCCTAAATGGCCCTGGCCCAATTTACCTGTCCGAACGCATCTCCCCCTATGAACCATTGTGGCGATTAAGATTCTCCGGAGAGGCCCTGCTTTCCATCCCACCATTATAACAGGCGCAATTGGTAGGGACGAGAGACAGGGCCTTCTCGGTGATTGCCTCCCGGCTATGGAACTCCCTTCCTGATGAGATCAGATTGGTCCTCTCCCTCCTGTCCTTCAGAAGGTTTGTAAAAACTTGGCTATGGGACCAAGCTTTCGGGACAGGGCAATAAAGCAGCAATAGGAAAGATGACCAGGCCAATTATATTTTACACAGATGACCAGGATGGTTTTAAATGGTGTATTTTAATATTGAGATAAATGTTTTTAATGTCTATGCATGCGTATATGAATTCTGCCCTAGCATTGAATGTTTGCCGCATATATGCTGTGCTCTGACCTGAGTACCCTTCAGGGTGAGAAGGGCGGAATATAAATGTTTTAAATAAATAAATGATAAAATAATAACAATTTTATTAATATGCATACACCTAATGAAGTGAGATACTGGTATAACCTACCTTAACAGCTTCACAATAGTAAATTTGTTAAAATAACTTAAACTTTCTAGAATAAATTAGATTAATTTAGGTCTAACTGAAACCAATGTGCCAAATTACACAAGCTCTCAGTAGGCACTGGAAAAAAGAAATTAGTCTGGATTTTGCTGAATGAACGGAAGACTAATGGTTCCTTACCAGTCAATACTGAGATGCGTGGAGACTAGCACATGTTGATTATCAATCAACATTATTGATATGCAGACTAAGGGAATTACAGAGCCACTTTTTGTAACTCTGCTATTTTGATTCCGTATTTTCCATATTTGGAAAATTCATTCAGATATTTTCGCATTCCTTTTGGAATTGCTCCCAGAATATCTAATCACCACATTTATTGGTTTTCCCCAGTATATGGCACAAAACCCAACACCAAATCCTATTCTGGATCTTTTGTCACCCAGATCAATAAGGAATGTGTTGAGATGTCCAAATTCCTGCACACCAGACAGGACTTTTGCTTCACTAGGCAGCATTGGAGTTATTGGGCCAATAGCTCTTTTATTTATTTACTAGCCGTCCCCTGCTAAGCGTTGCTGTGGCCCAGTCTGTGTATATGTGTTTTGTGTGTGTATATATGTGTATATTTATATATTTGTGTATATGTGTATTTAATACACATATACACAAAAATATAAATATACACATATATACACACACAAAACACATATACACAGACTGGGCCACAGCAATGCGTTGTAATGTATTTTTTTGGCTTTTTAAGTCTTTTCCGCTGTGTTTTTCAGTGTTTTTATGAGTGACTGTGGCCAAACCTTCCCTGCTTCTTTCTTTCTTTTCTTTCCCTCCTTCCTTCCCTCCCTCTTTCCTTCCTTCCCTCCATTCTTTTCCTTCTTCTTCTCTTTCTTCTTCTTTTCTCCCTTCCTTTGCTCTTTGGTTCCATCCTTCCTTCCTTCCTTCCCTTCCTTCCTTCCTTCTTCCTTCACTTTTTCCCCCTTCTCTTTCTTCCTTCTCTACCTTTCTCTCTTTCCTTCCCTCATTCCCTCCTTCTTTCCCTCTTTCTCTCCCTCCTCCTCCTCTCCTTCCTTCCCTCTTTCTGTGTATATGTGTTTTGCGTGTGTATATATTTGTGTATATATGTGTGTTTGTTTATATATGTGGTTTTGCGCATGTGTTGTAATGTTTTTTGTTTTTTGGCTTTTTAAGTCTCTTCTGCTGTGTTTTTCCATTTTTTTATGAGTGATGGACACTCGTTGGCCAGATAGGTGTATTGTGTCCAAATTTGGTGTCAATTGGCCCACTGGTTTTTGAGTTCTGTTAATCCCACAAACGAACATTACATTTTTATATAGATAAGAGTAGCCATCCCCTGCCATGCTTTGCTGTGGCCCACTCTGGTAGTCATGGGGGTTCTGTGTGGGAGGTTTGGCACAATTCTATCGTTGGTGGGGTTCAGAATGCTCTGTGATTCTAGGTGAACTATAAATCCCAGCAACTGCAACTCCCAAATGTCAAGATTCTATTTTCCAGTGTTCACATTTGGGCATATTGAGTATTCGTGTAGAGTTTGGTCCAGATCCATCATTGTTTGAGTCCACAGTGCTCTCTGGATGTAGGTGAACTACAACTCCCAAACTCAAGGTCAATGCCCACCAAACCCTTCTAGTGTTTTCTGTTGCATGGGAGTCCTGTGTGCCAAGTTTGGTTCAATGCCATAATTGGTGGAGTTCAGAATGCTCTTTGATTGTAGGTGAACTATAAATCCCAGCAACCTACAACTCCCAAATAACAAAATCAAAGTTTTTTGAGTGAAGGACATACATTGGGTTGTTAGGTGTATGCTGTCCAAATTTGGTGTCAATTGGCCAACTGGTTTTTGAGTTCTGTGAATACCACAAACGAACATTACATTTTTATTTATATAGATTTATTTAAAACTTTTATATCCCGATCTTTTCTACCTCTGTAGAGGGACTCAGACCGGTTGGATACATGGGACTGTGGAACCCGTTGCCAAACTGCAAATTTCATCATCTCTTAGTATTGCCCAAACCGGATAGAGCTGATTCAAACACAAGACCGACAACATTTAGAGTGCTACACATTTCCCGATCCTGGAGAAATGTATTATCTTGTATGATTGCAAATCATATTACCTTAAGATCTCTGTGTACAATGCCCATTCTGTGCAAATAGTACACAGCATCCAAAACTTGTCGTATCAGAGTGCTTGCATCTTTCTCAGTGTAAAATCCTTTCTCCACGATGCGGTCAAACAGTTCACCTCCTGATACTCTGAAAAAAAATCACAGGATATGTCAATACATTAGTTAATGCCATTCTAAAAGATAACAGAAAAGGAAAAAAATAAGAGGAAAGTTAAAAGAAACAGAAGCTTTTCCTTCAAGATAGAAACATATTCACACTTATTGGTTTTCCTTCTAATATACGCATTCATGTTGGCCTCAAAATGGAAAAAAGAGTCAAATTATTTTTCAGCATTGACTAAAGTTATTATTTTTGCTCATTTGTTCTAAATAGCTTTCAGACTGACACGAAAAATTACTTCTCAGTGCACCATGTATTGAGTTCTGAGCTACATAGAAAGCAGAGAAAACATATTCGAATAGATAATGGTTTCTATTAATTACAGTGGGAAAACAGTGGAAATTAAATGTCAAAACAGATGTTCTGGGAATGTGATGGTCAGAAGACAGCTTCAGTACATCCAAATATTAACATACTTTTATCAAAACATTGTGTTTTTAATGATTTTTTGACATGAAACTTATTCCAAGAAATACTGCTGATTAAAAAACAAATAGACACACATCTCTCAGTTATACAGACACTTTGTAGAAGAATTCAACAGGATCAGATAAGGATAGCATATCTCCTCTGAATGAATGCCTGGAAAAGGTAATGGGCTGAATAAGGAAAAACAAACTGAAAACTGAATCTAGACAAAACAGAGGTGTTTGCCATCAAGGATGGTGGTATGTAAACCAGTTCCGAATGGGGTTACACTCCCCTGTAAGACTGTATTCGCAGCTTGGAAGTGCTCCTGGATCCATCTCTCCAAATGTCAACCCAGGTAGATGCGATGGTCAGGAGTGCTTACTACCAGCTCCAGCTGATACCCCAGTTGCACCCTGTGATGATTCTTACCTTGTAGGCCGAAGGAGGAGACAGCAAAGCCTAGAGAAGACAATTATGCTGGGGAAAGTGGAAGGTAAAAGGAAGAGGGGCCGACCAAGGGCAAGATGGATGGATGGCATCCTTGAAGTGACTGGACTGACCTTGAAGGAGCTGGGGGTGGTGACGGCCGACAGGGAGCTCTGGCATGGGCTGGTCCATGAGGTCACGAAGAGTTGGAGACGACTGAACGAATGAACAACAACAACAAAGGCCGAAGTAGGAGCCTGAGATGTCAGTAAGCAGGCCTCCATTTTGAGAGGGTAAGCGAGGGAGGCAGACATCTTGGGAGTGTAAGAGTAGAAGAGGGGAGGAGCTGGAGCTCTCTCTGGATTGGTTAGGGCAGATGGGAGGAGTTTAGCCCTGAGAGGGAAAAAATGTCAACTTAACAGAGAAGGGAGATTGATTTTTGGCTTTGAAGAAAGAGGGTGGTTTTGGGAACAGAGAAGAGAGGTGGATGTTTGGTGAGCTGAGATTTTTCTGTCAGAGGGCATTTGTGACAGGCGATTCTACATTATTTGGCCAGGAGGGTCAAAGTAGACGCCTGGGTGCTTGTGTGGGATTTTTTTTTACACAAGTGGTTTGCTCTCTGGGGTCAGAGTAGTTTAGCTTTTAGAGGACTCTGTTTAGAGTGTAGCTAATTGCTCTGGGGACAACCTGGTTAGGTTTGTCTGGCCCCCTACCTGTCCAGGGATGACCTAGCTACGGTGATCCAGGCCACGGTCATCTCAAGACTGGACTACTGTAACGCCCTCTACATTGGCCTTCCTCTGTCGGTGATCCGGAAGCTCAAGTTGGTACAAAATGCAGCTGCTCGGCTTCTTGTGGGAATTCCGATGAGATGCCACATAACACCAATCTTACTACAGCTGCATTGGTTACCAATTGAGCACCGGATCACTTTCAAAGTGATGGTACTCACCTTTAAGGCCTTGCATGGTCTGGGGCCGATGTATCTGAGGGACCGCCTCACCCCCTACCAACCCCAGAGATCCCTCCGTTCTGAGGACCAAGATCTATTGGAAGTCCCCAGTGTCAAGACCTTGTGTCTAACAGCAACCAGATGCAGAGCCTTCACAGCAGTGGCACCATCACTCTGGAAAGAAGTTCTGGAAAAATAAATATGGAATAACTA